TTCTTATTCTTGTAGTTTTGTTAATAAACTTTCTTTATTCCTTTTAAGTTTTAAGCCTGTTTTGCTCTTGTTCTAATCCATATCTCACAGCAAGAAATAAGTAAGTTTTCTAGTAATTTTTTTGGTTACTACTTTAAAACCACGACAATAGGCAGGACCTACAGACCATGATGATACTCATCAGAAGACATAGATCATGGGGCTTGAGAATACTGACAGGTCTGCATTTCTGAGAATACTGGCAATTCTGCATTGGTTTCTTAAATGTCATCTGTTCCTTTTTGTGCATTGTAGCATGCCAGGCCTGGATGGTCTGGCAGGTGTTATCTAGGGGACTCTCAGTGTGAGGTCCAAATAAGAGTGGCAGTGAAATGAGGGACAGCCATGATTTAGTGACTCAAAAAGAGGTACTTTAATAGCAAAAACAACGAACACATAAACTGTACAACCTATAGGGATGCACTAAAAAGGCAAGATCCAGAGTGGAAACAGTAACTTATATAAAGTAGTTTAAGGGCAGAGTCTGAGGGTAAGGGTCCAATAGCATATGGGGATTAGGAATATGCAAAAAAATGTGACAAATTTCACCCAATAGTAACAAAAAAAACCCAGAAAACTTTCTAGTAATATTAACATACAACTTCCCAGGGGACAGTGAGGGTGAGTTTTTGCTCATCCTAACCTAAGGAGATCCTTCTTCCCCGGGCCTGATGGACTCCAACAGTGCATATCATTTCACAGGGAATTTGCTTCTGAGGAGAGGTTTAGCAGTTCTGGAGCTATGAGTAACATGCACCTCAGGGAGCCAGAGTCTGTAATATAAAACATATTTTATTTGTTGTCCCTTTTGAAGTATGTAAGCAATATGCAAAATGGACAGTGCTTTAATTTTTCATATGCCACTAGATGTTACCAAGGAATTATTTGCCAGTTTGTTTCATGTACTTGCACTTTATCAGAATTTTTCTTAACTAAAAAGCTTCAGCATATTTAGCTTCACCTTACTTGGGGCTATTAATTTATAAAGGATATGCTTGATTATGGTACTTGGAGTGTTTGATTTACTGTTTTTATGGATGTGATAAATCTAATTTGTACTGGTATATTATTGCTTTTAGCATTGTGGTACTGTGCTTTGCATAGAAGCTCAAAAAACACTTTCACCTTGAGACTTGTATTAAAAGTTCATTGATGATCAATGCTATTGAAAATGTTGAAAAAATATCAGACAATTTATTTAAAAGGTTGCCTTTTTGTCTGTTTTGAGGATTTCTGGGGTGTTTCTAAGGTTGTATTTGATGATTATGTTTATGATGACCTTTTTTTTTCAGGAATATCAGCCTTGTAACACCAACACCTGCCCTGAGTTAAAAAAGACAACTCCTTGGACCCCCTGGACCCCAGTGAACATTTCAGACAATGGTGGTCACTATGAGCAGCGATTCCGATACACCTGCAAAGCACGCCTGCCTGACCCAAACCTGCTGGAGGTGGGACGGCAGCGCATTGAGATGCGCTACTGCTCCAGCGATGGCACCAGTGGATGCTGGACAGATGGTGAGCAAAGCAACACAGGCTCATGATGCCTCCTGCAAGTGACATGTCTGCAGTTCCATTTTCAGCACAGCATGGAAGTTTCTGCTTGCTGGTGTTATGTGTAACAGAACTGATAATTAAAAGGATGGCATAGTGATCCCAGTAAGGAACCTACCCTGTAGTTCTTCTGAAGTCATTCAGACTAAATCAGAAGTCATCATCATTCGGACTAAGCAAGTGTCTTTCACCACCAGTTATGAGATTTGCCAGGTTATCTTAATTCTCTTCACAATAATCCTGTTCTTGTAAGATTCTGTTACCCCTTATACTCCTCCAAGCTTTTACTAGGGGTGAATTTGTGCAAAATTAACGTATTTACAGGATATTTTTCAAGAATATAGAATATTCTAAGAAGAACTTTTCCTCAGTAGTTAGAAATTAACAACTTTAAGATGCATACAGGTGTTTAAATAAATAAGGAGTTTGTGAACTGGATAATTTCTATTATAAAAGTTTATGTTGTGCTTTTGCTGATAGCTTAAAGTTCTGTTTATTTCTGAGATTGAATACCAAACTCTTTCAAAATATTTTCAAATTTAGAAGACTTTAAATTGGAATTAATTTGTTTCAGAATTTTCTTCTTTTCCCATCAGTAAAACCTAGTTCTGTCCATGTATAAAAAAAATTAAAAATAGAAGAAATTGTGACAGTCATTCTAATTTTATTAATGTATTTCATTAATTATTTAGTTTTAATTGTATATCAGTGTGTCTTTTAAAGTATTATATTTTAGTCATATAATCTAAAAAATATTGATTTTTATTATTATATTATAATATTTATAGGCCATATATAAGCTTTCCACTTACGTAATCTCTTGTATCTTCACAAGACCCAGGCTAGCTGAAAAAAAAAAAAGTATAACTGAAGGCATTTGGCTCCACAAGGAGTTTCTGAGTCCCTGGACTTTCTAATTCTTAGTATTTTTCAGACAGACCAACTATTGTGAAAGTCAGTTTTAAGCTCTTGCCTGTACTTGGTTTACATGTCAAGGTTTTGGTAGTGGGGAAGGCTCTGCAGAGTTGGCTTCTATGATAATATGCTAGAAACTTCCATTCTCCCCCCAGCCCCTTCATCTTGTACAAAACCTTTATTGTTTCAATTGGCATCTGTGTCTCTTTGGAGGGGGCAGGATGTTAGTAATTTTTTGAAGAAATATATAGTCGTGAAGTATGTGAAATCATAAAACAAAACCCATGGTACTCCAGATAAAACTTAGTTTTGTGCTCTATGTCCTTCCCATTTCAGATAATCTACAGTGTCAAATGTTGGGGCTTCATTTAGGTCTGCATAGCAAGGCAAATTGTGGCATTGAGCAACTGTTGACACAAGTATTTCTTCTAGTCTGTTTTCATTCAAACTAAATTTCAGACTTGTACTGTGCAAAGATTTTGCCGTGCTAGGATTGGTATATGACCTATCACTTGTCCTTAATGAGACTTCAAGGTGGTGCTGCTGCTTTTTGCTGTCTTCCAGCATTAGACATGGATGATACATTTTTAAAATTTCATGAGATTAAATGAGAAAGAATATTTTTCTCTTAAGGTAGTGCAGACTGGAAAGTTAACACAAGTAGAAGTAAAGCTACAGGAAGATCTAAATTTAATCTGGTCTGACAGCTGAAATGGCAGCATGTAAGAAAGAAGTATACAAAAGCCAATGCATGACAAGAGAGGAGGTCAGTAGGGCAAACCAGAGAAGAGACAGTTTGTTATAGATCACATTGCTGCAAGAATTTTAAACTTGACATGGAGACACCTCTCTCACCTCTGAAGTCATGATCGTATAAGACCTCTCCTGGAGGTGGATGCATAAGTTGACTCCTGCAGAATCTAATAATATTCTAATATATTATTATTATTACTATTATTATTACTATGATGATTATTACTATTAATAATAATATATTATATTATATATTTTTATATTATTATATAATTATATAATAATATAATATAACCTATTCTATTATATAAATAGAATATTTATAATATTCGAATAATATAATAAACCCTACAATTTGTTAAATAGAGCATTTTTTCAGTGTGCAAGTGATGGGGGCAGGGATGGTGGTTCAGGTGTATTTTTTGCTTGATCAGCTTGAAATTATGTTTGTTTTGTTTTGTTTTGTTTTTGTTGGGTTTTTTGGGGTCTTTTTGGTGTTTTTTGCTTCTGAACATACTCCTGAATACTGACATTGAATACTCCTGAATTTTCTGACATTGTAATTTTTTTGTTGCATCTTGTTGAAGCTGCTGCTATGATTAATTTAGAAATAATTCATCACTGGAGCAATGTATGTGCATGGCCCCAACCCTGTTGCATAGTAATAGAAATATTTATCTGGGTGAAGGATTTTTGCTGAATAATTCCAAAACTACTGAATATTTAAGCACTTTTTATTGAGTACTTGACAGGGCAGAAACTATTATGCATCTGTCTGTTCTTCCTAGTGAGTGCCCCTATGGCTTTGTCATTAATTTGAAGTCATTCTTTGATTCTTTTTGGCCAGTGAGTCTTTAATTGTTCTGTAATGAAAGGGGATATTCAATCAGTGTTCCAAGTGGCTGAATGAAACGATACACTTCTGGTGAAAATAGCACATTTTATTTTGAGGCTGTTTGCATAGCCATTTTTGATTATGGATGTCAGAACAGTATGGAGTGGATCATTTGTTGAGGGAGGGGTGAGGGGGCACCATTTTGACTTACTGATGAGATGAAACTTGCTGACTGCATCTAAACTGCATCTAAACTGCAAGATTCAGGAGCACTTCCCTGCTCCCAGGTTTAGATGTGGGCCAACACACCACCACTACTGCTCCTTGATTTCACTAGAAGAAAATACATGAATAAGAGTCATGTAGAGAGCTGTATCTTTTGAAACAGAGGGAAGTCATGAGAGTGGAAAACCATGAATTGTGGTAGATACCTTCACCATTTCTGTCTAGATAGCAAGAAAAACATTGTAACTTACTTCCACCTGACTGGAGCCTGGATACTGTGAAACATTCTTTTCATTATCTCCATGTTGAATTGTTGCAATTTTCTGGCTTTTACAGAAAGGTAAGTTCTTGCACAGAATGCTTGGCATACCTCATTACCAAAGATGTGTTCTGCAGAGATCAGTTCTCAGTTCCTTGCAGATAGGAGCCATTTGTTAGAAATCTTCTCATTGCCTGTAATCTCCCACAGTGCAACTATAGTCACACCATGTTAAACAGAATAAAGTTTCACTGTCAGATGCTAGCAAAGCAAACTTTGCAGTCTGAGCTTAGAGATAGAACTTCTTGCCAGAAACCCACTAGACTCCTCCTGAGTGTGGTAAGATTTCTATCTCAATCAAGTAAGCAGTAGTATTTGCGGACTGTATTCATGCTTTTCTGATTTGAAGTTTGATTAAGAGGGAAGAAAAATGAATCTTGTTCCCTGCCTCTGGGTTTTCATATAGTGCTCAGGTAGGAAAGAGACAGCTATTTCAAATAAACTGAAAGAGATTGTGTACATTGTTGTACATTTTAATGCACTGTCTGTAAAATCCAGCATCCAGAATCTAGAAATTACATTACCCTAGGCTTTAGTATGTGTTTATGAAACATATTAAATAACTACATTAAACATGCTGGTTCTCTGTGAGATTATCTGATACATAAACAGTAATAATTTTATTGAAAACATAATTTTTTAACCCATGGATAAATATTTCAGAAAGTATGAGGTTGCCTGTTATTACTAGGTTGAATTTATCTTACCAAAGTCTAGACTCTGTAGCAGTGTACAGAGAGAGCTTCAGCACCCTGAGGAATGAAGGATCCATTGAAGATAAGCATTTGATATAATGGGTGCAGTTCACCCTCTGGAGATAGATACTGCCAACTTTCCATGGTGTACAATGCAGACAGCAATGATGGGCTTAGACAAGACACTTGACTTTGACATGGCCAGGGTTAGACCAGGTTAACTTCCAAAAAATTAACAAAGACAATAGCTCTAATTTCAGTCATTTTAGTCTTAAAGAGTCTTTTGTTTGTTTGTTTCCCCAGATACCTGGAAATCTGCACCTAGATTCATAGTTCTTGCTGCTTCCTCTATCTCAAACCTCGTAATAATAGTTATTTTTGAAGGCAGGATGTGAATTTGTCTGAATTACTCTTCTAGGGGCAATGATCTGTTGTGAAAAGTTTGATTAAATCTTTCCTTGTGTTACCCACAGGAAATCTATAGTGTATTCAGATTTTTTTTACAAATAGAACATGTGCTGATAATCAGGAATGTTCTGTAGTCAGGAGGAGTACATTTTGAGATGTTACCGCTTATACTGTCATACTGAAGCTAAGCTTTGGTATGCTGAGTAAGAACATAATGAATTCTGGAAGTTAGAACTGAATTTGATGAGAAATTCAAGTTTGCTTGACAAAGCACAACTCAGTGGAACTTTGGGGTTAAATACTTAAACACAGAAAAGCTATATAAAAAAAAAAAAGTTATCATGCTAACATGATATCCTCCATCTGCATACTCTTTCAGTTTTTAAAATATGCTGTCTTTGCATTGCATTAATGTTTGCCATTACATTTTACTATTTCAATTTTACTATGTTTTGGAAGTTTATCATTTTTATAACTTATAGGTATTTAGGCCTGAATATATAAGTTTTATGCTTCAAGAATATTGTCAAATAACTTGCCGACTGTTGCGTCACACAACAACATGGCCTGAGAGTGACCAGCACGTCTTCAGCCCAGAGTGCACAACAAAAACTCTAGGCAGATGAAAGACAAGGGATGGGTCTTTGTTTGGCGCTCCAGGAAGTTTATTCACTGAAGAGGGTCCAGGGACAAAGAAAACTGGGTGGAGGGGGCAGATTGGAGTGTCAGTGTCCAATGGGAGCAGGGAAAAATGGTGCAGAGGTGGAGTTAGGGACAGGAACAACCAATAGGAAAACAGGGGTGGAGGACTGCAGCAAACTGGGGCCAATGGGGATTGAGGAAGGGAGAACATTTTAGGGAACATAAGGTAAGTGGGGGATGAACAGGGTGACATAAACTTGGTAAACCAGTAAGGGGGCAGACTTAACAATTCATTAACATATAACTGAGAGAGAGGCCTTCTCTCACCCCAACCTCAGGAGGTGTTACTTGTTACCTCCTCTCCAGGGCTGAGGGATGGGGATTTTAGTCATTGGCCCTTGGGCCTCCACAGGAGACGATCTTTAGAAAGTGACAACTCTGAAACAATCTTTGTTTATCCTTTTTACCTCTGCACTTCAAGCAGTGTTTTATGCTGTCATTTAGAAATGATTCAGGACACCTGAATTTTGGCTTCAGATTATCTTTTCCTAAAGTCATTAACCTAGACTGCTTCAATAATTCAATTTTCTTTGTAAGGTCGGAACTGGAGGACAAATCAGTCAAATAATATAATGTATCAGGTGTCATGTCCACTTCTGTCTTACTTAGGGCTGTATTACTCAGCTACAGGCTAGACTAGGGAATTACTATTCCCTAGTCTATGTGCTTTAATAGAGACTCACTTTTAAGGCAAATTAATTGAACTTGGTTGAGAGTGCTTCTGTTTTCAAGCAGAATCAGGCCTGCCAAAGTCTCATTACAGGCTTTTGAAAGGGCTGATTTTTTTCTCCTGTGCCAGTCAGGGCAGGTGACTTTCATGTTAACATGTCATTCATTACTTGTGGATTTATGAAGCTATTTTAATTCAATCAAAAACTTTTAAAACTTTACTTATATATCATCAAATCATCTTGGTTTATATCAGAATTTTGTAAATTAATTGAGCAATGGTTGTCAGTTATATTTGCATTATGCAATAAGTAAATAATCAGCAGAGCAGTATTAATTTTTCTGTAATTTTACTGATAATGAATGTGTCATAAAGGTTGGATCAGAATTTGACTTACCGATGTTCTGTCTGTCTTGGGAAAACTATTCATTAGTTTATTGATGCAGACTGATAATTCTCTTTATGGATTTTTACAACTATCTCTGTAGATGGGCTTTAAATAAGGGCGACTAAGATTTTGTTTTGGCAACTAGACCTTTGCTGCTGCCATGCTAAGGGCATTTGCCTTTGCATCCTGGTTTGGCTTTATATATATTTATCATGGGAGCAGTAAGCTGAGAAAAGCAGCTTAATGCTGGATTTTGTTGGGTGGCACAATCTGGTTTCTGTCCCTGGAGTTGGAGATAGAACAATCTGAAAATGGCCCAAACTGCAAACAGAAGAAGCAAGCAAGAAAACCACAGTTTAATGAGACAAGATGGAGTTTTCAGTTTTGTACCACTTGCTCTGAAAGATTCTTTTCTATTTATGCCTTCTCCTGTTGAATTTGATGTAAACTGTGATAAGGTTAAGACTTGGTTCTTGTTACTTTCTGAATAATTTTTGCTTGAACAAATGCTACAATGTAATATTTTGATTAATTTTATATTGCTCCCCATCCCCTCTACCACCTCAGTTAATAAACAGGACTTCTCAGCTGAAGAACTCAGGAATTGGTTCCAGAGCCCCAGATGGGCTCCCTACCAGTATTGACTGGAGGGGAAGAATCTTTCCTTAATCTTCTGGAAAAACTTTTCCTAATGTAACCCAAACACCTTCTTTTCCACAAGGGCACATTTCAGGCTCACATTCAGCTTCCTGTCCTCCAGAACCCCAAGATCTGTCTCTGCAGAGCTGCTTTCTAGGTGGTTGCCCTCAAAGTATGATTGCATGGGCTTGTCTTGTGCAGATTCAAGACTGCATTTTCCCCAATTGAACTCCATGAGGTTTCTCTCTGCTTTGTCAAAGTGTGACACAACCCTTTGGTTAATCAGTCAGTCTTCAGAGTCAAGGCAAACTTGTCCAGGTCATTAATGATAGTGTTAAGCAGGATTGAACCTCACGACTTTTCTGCAGCTGGCCTCTTAATGGTTCATCATTTTCCTCTGGGCCTAGTTGCTCAGCCGGTTTTCAACACGTTCCACTTATTCAACACTGTCCACTTATCAAGCTCATACTTTGTTGACTTGTCTAGCAAGAAGTTATGAGAATCAGTGTTAAAACCCATGCTCAAGTTGAGATAAGAAATGTCCACTCTTCTTCCCCCATCTGTGCACCTTGTCCCCCTTGTAAAAGGCTGTAACGTTGTTCAAGGGCTATATAGAACAGTATTTCCAGAATGCATCTGATCTTGTCACTTTCCATGCTGTTAATGACATAATGCTAATTTTTTATTGTGTAGTTATTAGAAAATTCTAAAAGCCCCTTTATGAACACTGTATTAACTACTGTAAAACTGTGAATAGACTGGTCCTTATAATAATTTTTTTAATGCTTTGGAAAGAAGAAAATTCAGGGGCATTACTGCAGACCAAATTCCACACTGAAAAGATTCTTTGGAATATTTTTCTGTTTCAGATCTAAACTACCTTAGAGCTTTCCCTTAGAAGATTCCACTCCCCAGTCCCCATTCACAAGAAATCTAATACCATAATGTCAGATAAGGTCACACATTTTCCTCAGGACTTAAAAAGCTACACATATCCTGCAAAAATATCTTCAAAATATTCTAGTATTCTTATGAAGTGATATACCCTGCAGTGATTTATGAATGGAATGACTGGCAGTCTGGTCTGATTAATACTTTTTTCACTGTTTGCATTGCATTAATTTAATAACTTTAAAAAAATCCTTGACTTAGAATTCTGGTATAAAATATACTATTATTTTGTTCTCACAGCTCACTGTGTACATAAGTTGAGAATTTCCATGACCAGAGTGATACCAAATTGAAAAAAAAGGTGTTACAGAGCAGGAAAGTGGACCTGTAATCATTATTCACATTCTATTTCTCTGTACTTGCTCCCTTCTTTACATTTGAATATGTATTATATTTTTTGAAATACTACTTTTAATATCTGTGTAATAGAATCTGGTTCAGTGTGAGAGAAATAGTTACCCTCTAAAATTCCTGAAAATTTTTATCCATTTTTAGTCATTTTTCTATTGCAATTCTGCTGTTTTATTATTCATTTCACCAGTTTCTTATTACCAGTATTTCTGTGTCAATGCATCATCATTCCATGCAATAGCATGTTTTCAAGTTGGAAAAAAAATATGCACACCCTCCTCTACTTTGAGATGAATGTGAATGTATTTCTTGGGGAAGAAGTTAAGCAGTGTTACTAATGCCATAATCATGGATAGAAATAGGGTGGACACTGCAAATAAGAGGCTCCTTCATCATGCTTATGCAGAATGCTGATCCTGTTCAGTGCAGAACTGCTGTTGGGCAGACTCTTCACAGTATTATTTCTGTGGGTCCTCATGGCATTGTTCAGTAAATCTTCCAATCCTTTATCTCCATTTCATACTTCCACAGTGCCTATGCCTATGGGTAGAGCACAAAACAATTTCTTAAGAATAGAAATTTGTGCTGCAGTTAGAGATGCAAACAATCCCCTGCATTTCTCCACTGTTGATGATACAGTTCATCTGTACTTATGTTGGCAATACTGGTCACATCCTCTTCTGGCTGAAGTACCATTCACAGGACCTTCTCTCATCACAGCTACTTAAATAAGTACTTTCAATAAAAGCAGCAGTTATTGGTCCATCAATCAGAGTTTCCACTGTGAAAGGTGAACTGCTTTGGCAACAATAGGAAATCCTAGTAATGTTGGTGGAGATGCTTAGTAATGATGCTTAGAGGTAAGGCTACAGCTCAAGAGTGATTTCGGTCTTGTGCTTAGTACAGTTGAAGGAGTCTTTTCTCATGCAGGACCAAGCCTCAAAGTGACAGAGGTACTCAAATGAGCTGCAGATTATTAGAACTTCACCCAGGACTATATCCAGGTCTATTGGTTGAATGTTGTGAAGATGATCTGTGTGTCCCCTCTCACCGATAAATTGCAGACTTCATCCTTTGCTGTTCAATCTAATGCCTTTTCTCTGTACTAAACTTAGAAATATGTTTTCCACTTGCCAGATGATTATTTTAAAAAGGAATTTTCTATGGGGCAGATGTGTGTGTGTCTCCAAAAAGCTGATTTCCATAGTTTATATGTGGCCTAGAACAGTTCAACTCAGTGGAAAATAAAGTGTTTCTTAAAGTGACAAAACACTGCTTTTCACAAAAGGACAGTTTTGCTAGACTTTATGGAATTATTAGTGGACACTATCTAAAGTCTGAATATGGCTAGTGCATGTACAGTGCATGGGATACCCATAAGCCTCTGTGCACAGCCAGCAGCAGTGAAGGCTGGGTGGATTGAGTGGGCAGAGTCCTGCAGGAAGACCAGGAGAGCTGGCTAGATGAGTGGTCACAGGAAGCTCAATCCTGTGTCCTTTGTCACCTTTTTCCTGTAAAACAGAAGAAATTATGTATATGTAATATATTTGGAGATTTTCTGATGGTAATTCCTGTGCAAGAGAGAAATAATTTTTATCATTCTTCATTGAGTCAATGCAGCCGTAAAGTTTTAACTGTCTTGGATGCAACTCTTCACTGTACTTCTGTGTGATTATGAACTTTTTATTATGGAACAGATTTTTGAGAATAAAGTTAGATCGTGATTGTGAGACTAAAGGACAAAACCCTCCTGTGATTATGAAATTTTTATTATGGAACAGATTTTTGAGAATAAAGTTAGATCGTGATTGTGAGACTAAAGGACAAAACCCTCCTGTTCATATTACTTGCTATTAGAAGTCCAGAAGTAAATTTGAAGAGGAAAAGGTTGTTTTGGAGTGAGATACTGTTTTAATTCAGTATTACTTTTTCAATCCTTATTTTATTAGGATTGTCAGGGGACTTCTTGCATTCTGGAAGATACTCTGCTCATACCATCAATGGTGCCTGGTCACCCTGGTCTCCGTGGTCTCAGTGCAGTCGTGACTGCAGTAGAGGTATCCGGAATCGCAAACGGGTCTGCAGCAATCCTGAGCCCAAGTATGGGGGACTTCCTTGCCTTGGCCCATCTCTAGAGTACCAGGAATGCAACATTTTACCTTGCCCAGGTAGGTTTCAAATGTAATTAAAGAAGTGAAAATAAGATAGCTCATCTTCAAGGTTTTGCAATATTTGGTTTGGAGTTCTTCTATTTTAGTTGGTGAGTTTTGGGTTTGTTTTCGTTCTTAAATCAATTACAGTTCAAGTTTACTTTTATAATATAAGTGAATTTGGGTAATATTTCCATGTGATGTCAATAAATTTATCATCATAATATCATCATAGTATTAACAGCTCTGTCTTTTTTCACTTGTGAGATTGACTGTAAAAATATAATTTTAGTATGTAAACTTATAGAGAAAAAAAATACATAAGAATTCTGGCAAGATATGAGAAATCTGTCCTAGTCTTTATTTAAACTCAAAATATCATTGTCATCACAGTGGTTGCTGGTATTAAATCTTTTATAGCTTTTTAGTATAGAGCCACCAGCAAATAAGGTTCATAACTGATCACCAAACTAGATGGTTATTCAAATACTCCATAAAGATTGTTCTTGGAATCTTGAGTTTCCCCTTAATTTAAAGTTGTTTTATGATTTCATGAAAATGATTACAAGTAAAATATATGTTTACACAAAACTACTCTGGATTAAAAATCATTGTTGTATCTCCGACCTATGGTGAAAAAAATCTTGGTTTCAGTCATGTCTCACCCTTCATAAAACAGACATTCAAACTGAAATGATTTCGAGCTTTACAGAGGCATTGTGAGAAAAGAAAGGGGAAAGATATAGGAGAATACATGACGAAAAGAAGGTGCTATTGGTTTAGGAAGAGAGCATTCAAGGATAGGAAACCACAGAGAGGAAGAAGGAAAGAAGACTGAAAGACTCAATTCTTTACAGCAGCAACAAGTAAATTTAGAAATAAACTTTCATACCTCTTTTATTGTATCAATTATCAATATTGTATCAAGTATACAATTTAATTGTATCAATTATTGTATTGTATCAATTCCACCTCTCTTTTATTGAAGAGAGGTGGAAGGGAACCAACAGAGAGCCAGCATTTTTCAGACAATTAGGAAATTGTGGTCCAAGTCTTCTCCATGTGAGCACAACCCTAGTGCATGATCTGATTCATTAGTTCCCATTAGTATGGAATCATAGCGCCTTACTTTTTCCAGAATAATAAAATGATAAACAATTCTGTTTCATGTAACTGTACTGCTCAAATAGTTTGGCAGTAATTTATTAAGCCAAAGATTTAGAAGACTGTTGTACCAACGTGGGCAAACCTTCCCAGGGATGTATGCAGTAGGTGAATCAACCTAGAACATAGCAACTCCTTATTGGCTCCTGCTTCCCTTGCAAACAGAATGTCTCCCTTTGCAAGAGGGAGGATATAGGACATTGCCTTGAGCTTCCTTGGAAGTATGTGTGTGGTGTGGTATGAAGTACCAGCTCTGCTCACAAGCTCTGAGATATCTGATTGTATCACCATACTGAAGTAACTGAAATACATTCATTAAATGGACACAAATTATCTATATAATGGGGCTAGATTTGTGGTTCAGCCCTTGCTGCTGATTTTCAAATTAAATTTTGTCTTGAATATTTGGGGATTTTTTTTAAAAATTTAAGTCAAAATTTTCAGAAGTGGTATTTTTATTAAGCTCTGCAGCTATTCAGTGTTACATTTTTGAAAGAAATTGTTTTAGCCACTAAAACACACTTACAAGTTTGTTGTAGAGGCTCTAGTTTTTTATGAGATAAACAATACCTCAGACTAAAAAACATCAATTTTAAGGTGAAAGTTAAAACTGCACTTTGAATTTGAAAATATTTTAAAAGATGAATTGATATAAAGTGTGGTGGACCTTTCTGAAGGGAGAAGTGGTGCCCTAATCTATCTAATAATTTTATTTAGAGACAAGTTTTATTTTTCTTTTCAGAGCAAAACAAATTTGAATAAAGATGTAGAGAATGAATTAAGTATTTAGATATATCAAAGCTTGCAACAAGGAATCACAAAGTTCCTCAGCTACAGAAATACTGTTTGCCAGTAATTAAGAAAAAAATATAGGAGACTAAATCAGATCTCAGATAAATCTGAAGGGAAAACTTTGCAAGAACTAGATGTAATTGATTTTTTTTTTTTGAGACATGGGATAAAATATTATTGCAGAATAAGGCTTATCCATAAATTAGGCCTGATTATGAACTTGTAGGAAGGAAGTAAATTCTTATTGGAGAAGCGCACCAATAAATTTGAATTCTCTTAATTTTTAATGGAAGAGACAGAAGGGCTAAGGAATGTGAGGGGATTTTGTTCTGACCTTGACCTGAAAGTATTTTCCCTAGTACTAGAATTAAAATTGCAGCAAAGAATTTGATGCTGTCTAAGATTTTCCTGAGCTCCCTCAGGGTAAGAACAGCTTCACATGCACCTTTCTGGTACAGAGCCCTTTAGTAACATTCCAGCCCAGTCATTATACTTCCAGAAATATTCTGGTTAGCAGGCAGAGGCGCGATGGAAGCCATAAAGAACCCTTTCTGCCACTGCAAGCTCAGTTCTGCTTTGCTTCCTCTTCTGCTTATTGCAGGCAGGATCAACCCCTCGTGATGTAAACTGCTGAGAATGGGGAGTGATAGAGAAATATACTGAGTGATATTTAAGTGGTGTTTAAGTCATGCTGAAAGTCAGTAGGACTTTATACTTCTCAGTGAATTAATCTGGGCTGTGTCATCCTCTCCTAGTGCTCTGAAGGACTAAAAGAAAAAGCCCATGGAGCAATCAAAGTGTACAAGTTTACCCTGTTTGGTTAAGTGTCTTGCAACACTTGCAGCATCTTAAATATACTTATTAATATATTGTCTTGGTTCTAGAAGACAGGTGTCTGCTAGGGAGAGTAGGAGCCTCCCTTGGGATGAAAGAATGTAGACCCCCTCCCTCCGAATTATTATAAATTTGAAATCAAGGGGCTTTCAGGCAGAGATCTGGGGATAGGAATAACAGTTCTTTACTAGTATAACCAGGCAAACAAACAAACAATAACTACAGCAATAACAAGAACACAGAACCAGGGACCCCGGGACAGCTCTCTCAGCTGAGATGGGATGGGGGAGAGGTTTTGTTTTTCACAAACCCCTCGGGCAGTCAGTCCCGGTGCTCCTGCAGGGCTCCGAGGAACAGTCGGCTGGAAACAGCAGGGATGAGCTGAGATCCTGGGCCGGTGGATGAGGTGTATCAGCAGCTCTGCGGCGGTGGCTGCCACACGTCCCGGCAGGGCAGGGGGTGCGAGGCCACCAACCAAGAGGGGAGAAGGAGAAGAAGCAACTGCTCCGTCTGGGTGATGGCGAAAATCCCTTCTCTCCACCGCAGCAGCTCCGCGCCCCAGCACACGAACGTCCTTCCCCGAAGCCGAAGAAAAGCCAGCTAAAAACTGTCCCCACCCTCCTTTTCTGCCCCCTTCCCCCCGCCCTGGGCCCGGCTACTCTTTGTCCGTTGTCAATCACCCCTAAGTACCGGTAGTTAGGTTGCCCCAGCACATAATGGGTAAAAATTCCCCGGGCAGGCCAGAACGACAAAACAAACAAAAAAAAAAAGGACACCTAACCCTCAACATATATTAATAAACAGAAATTGATGGCTAAATGCAGGATTCGAGAACTTAAAAAATTACTGAAGTTATCTAGACTTTGCCTTCAGTAAGTTCAATTAAACCTTTTTTAAGCCTGAAGAGGAGAGAAAAACTGAATTTTTTCTGCAGTAGTAAATGGTCCACTGATGAGGAGATTGGTAGTGTTATAAATGCAAAGGCAGATTTGGGTTAAATAAAAAACAATTTATTATAAAACAATTTCTATAAAAAAATAAACAATGAGGAAAAACCACAATAAAACAAACAGCGCAGCGCTGGGTGGACAGGGGTCTATACCCAAAGGTATAGGTGTTCCCAAATCCACGAAGGAGGGTAGACTGTCCGGGGTTTTTATAGGGATTTTTAGCCTTGAGGCCAAATTCCAGGCAGGCACCATTCACCAACGGTCCTTGATTGTTGTATGAATTGATTTCCTGGCGTTGGAGAATAGAGTCAAATGGACGTCCGGACAGAGTCTCCTCATATGTAAAGAAGTTCTGGGTGTTTCTTGATTTCATTGTGGTTCAGGCCATCTGGATGGGATGGTTGGATCCAGGTTGGAGCTGATGGATATCTCGGCTGGACTTTTTCCTTTTGTCTACCTGATGGCTTCCCCCAACGGTAGCCTGCAAGGCGGGGTGTTCAGGTCCGGTGATGAGTATCTCGTCGGAGCCTCTCCTTGTTAGCTTGATGATTCATGTCCTGTCTATTCTTTTCCGTTGATGGGCACCGAGCCTGTCCCTGTCAGCTTGATGATCCTTGTCCTGTCTATTCTTTTTCGTTGGTGGGCGCCGGCTAGGATCGTTATCCTTTGAGTGGGAATTCGCGACTAGATCTGGGAAGGGCTTGTGGGCCATACTGTACTTTATATTTTATATCATTATTGTTATATACATTTATTTAGATTTCTACGAATTTTTACAAGTTCATTTCTCACAGTAGCAGTCACTGAGCCTTTTGCTCATAGTATTTGAAAGCTGAATATATAATAGTAAATTGAACAGTGTCAGAAATTGTATCCAGGTCCTGGAAAATTATTTGTCTGTATTGTTCAAGTTTTAGAATGATCCCTCATACAATTTTTGCCTTCAAATAAATATCACTCTCCCAAATAAGCTGCAGAAATAGTTTGTGAGCCAGTATAGGGCAAAGGCATGTTCTCAGTCCTGTTTCCATCTGGCTAAGCTACTTTGAGGGGCAGGAGAATTTGAACTATTGTCTTGCCCTAGCAAATTAAGCTTTGAACCTGTGCCTTAGCTCTTTTTTATGTCTCAGAGATATGAATAGCATTAAGCTGACAAGAACAGAGCTGAACAGCCTCAATAACTATGGAAAGGATCTGTGAATGCTCACTGACATTTGTTTTCTTTGAGTTACTAATCTTCAGTCAATAATAAAAGGAATCTAGAATCAGTCATATCAG